TTGCCAGTCTTAGGGCTTCAACAACTGAAAGCAAGGCAGTCTCGGTCGAATGTCCACTTCTGAAGCCAGATTGGTTGCTGTCCAGGAGGTTGTTCTGTGTGATAAAGGCTGAGACTTGGTTGAACACAACTCGTTCAAGTGTTTTTGCAATGAAAGATAGAAGGGAAACCGGTCTGTAGTTCTCTAAAAGAGTTGGGTTAAGAGTGGGTTTCTTAAGAAGTGGGGTTATATGGGCCTGTTTAAATGTTGAGGGAAAAACACCATTGTTAAGGGATGTGTTAACGATGTGAGTGAGTGCAGGTACAATGGCAGGAGAAATGGCTTGAAGGAGATGAGATGGAATAGGATCAAGCGGACAAGTAGTAGGATGATTGGAAAGGATGAGTTTAGAGACTTCTGCCTCAGAGAGTGGAGAGAAGGATGAAAACGAGTGTATGTTTGCTGGTAAGATGAGTTTGACAGTTTGTGGTGTTGCAAATTGTGCACCGAGGTTTGTAATTTTATGAATGAAGAATGTGGCAAAGTCGTCAGCTGTTAGAGTTGATGAAGGAGGGGGAGGAGGAGGACAAAGGAGGGAGGACAATGTTTTAAAGCGCATGTGAGAGTTAGGCGAATTGTTAATTGTGTTGTGATATTATGTCCTTTTAGCAGTGGAAACATTAGCAGAGAATGAAAAGAGGAGTGATCGATATACATTAAGGTCAGTAGGATTTTGTGATTTACGCCATACTCTTTCTGCAGCTCTGAGCTTAGAACGATACTCACGGAGAACATCAGATAGCCAAGGGGCAGAAGAGGTGGTACGAGCTGGTCTGGAAGACAAGGGGCAGACAGTGTTTAAACAAGACGTAAGAGTGGAGCAGAAAGTATCAGTAGCACTGTTAACATCAAGAGATGATAACTGTTCAGGGGAAGGAAGCAAAGATTCCATAGCAGATAGCCGGGAGGGTGAGAGTGAGCGTAGGTTACGTCGAAAAGTGACATGTATAGGGGTATGTGTTGTGTCAGGAACCATGTTGAGGTTAAGAGTGAGGAGGAAGTGATCCGAGGTGTATGATAAATACAACTTAACCATTGATTTCTAGTTGTGTCCTCTTTTGGAAGGCCAAACAAAGTAGTTTCGCTTTCACAACGAAACACACAGCGTCACACACGGCGGGCTAGAGTGAGCGGAGGCCGGCAGGCTAGATTGAGGAATGACCAGCGGGCTTGAGAACGGCGCGGCTGGCGGATTCGACGAAGGAGCGGCCGGCGGGCTTGTGGCAACCACATGTGACGACCCCGGGCTGGACTCTGCTTCGTCCATGGTGAAAGCCGATCCGGTGATCCACAGCGCGAAGTTGATGTATTTCCTCAGCGACCAGCACGGATCAGGTGCTGCAAGCGGATATCGTCCTCTTTTGGAAGGCCAAACAAAGTAGTTTCGCTTTCACAACGAAACACACAGCGTCTCCAGTACATGGCGGCGGCGGCAACAACAACACTACAGCGAGAATCAAAGTTACGCCTTCTTTCTTTGCGTGAACATTTGGGCAGTGTTATGCAAATCTTCCCACACAGTGACGTAGACATGTGGGGGCGTGTTTAAACGAGGCGTTTTAGGAGGGCGTGGACAAGTCTTAACTTTTATAAAGAATATCTTTAAAAATAAGAATAAAAGAATAAAAATAGGGTTTGAGACTTTAGTCTTTGCAACTTTAGGGATCTTATCTATGCACGAACAGCTTGTAACACTCCAAAGAGAAAGGAAAATTTGAAATTGCATCATATGACCCCTTTAATAAAGTAGATGCTCCTCCTGCCATAGGAGTCCCACAGGACAGATCATGACTCACACAGTGTCTTAGAAGAGCAGTAAATAATCTCAAGAGGACAGAAGACTGAAGAGACTGAACTAAAGCGACCAGTCATTCATTTTCAATGAGAGAAGAGACATGAGTGACAGGAACTGTAAATAAATTGCAGTGTGTGTTCTAGACAAATATATAGTTAAAATATTGTCTTAATTTAATAGTTACAATTGATTTTTGGGAAATAAAAATTAATAAAATGTAATACATTTAAATTTAATAAATGTAATTAATAAAATTTCCAATTTTCAGAAATCTGATGTTTTTATCATATGAACACTTTATAATCATGGATGATTTTACCAGCAAGTGCTAACTGTATTTTTATACATATAAAGTCTGAAAATAATGAAAGTAAATAAATAAATAATTTTGTTCAGTTTTGCTCACGCTCGCGAATCCTTTCATTCGAACAAACAAAATGTACACACAATGTAAATAAGAGATCAATTGTTCAGTAGTGTAGAGCTTCACTGAATATAAAGGAACTTTGTGAGATCACGACGAACTGAGATGAGTGACAGCTTTTTAATAATTATAAGGGGGAGCGCTCTTTGCAAGCTTTCTAGGCTATAACCCATTCAGAATTTGACTCACAGATTCACTCTCTGATAATCATTTATCCAATATTGCCTTTTGCCATTGTGTTACCTTTACTACTTAAAGTGAAGCAGGTGCTTGCGCAGCGAAATATTTTTGTAGGCACGTGTGGTTGCACATATTGACACGACCCCGCGAGTTAAAAAATATGTATAAAATATTTTTCTTTAACAATGCAGCAAACTTAAAGTCCCCATGAAATCAAAATGAAAGTTTTTTGGGTGTTAGTATCAATATGCTAGTTATGGATGAGATTGTGGCTGGCATACCCTGTCAAATGCGGCTTTATGGAGCTCAACGGCTCTAGCCCAAGCTGTGATATAAACGAACGCTATTGGCTATTTTAAAAAGGGGCGGGGCTGCCTGATATGTCCCGCCCTGTCTTCTTGTTTCAGTTAAAATGATGTCAACACATAGAGTAACGCTGCGTGTTTCTAAGCATTTCAGGGGACTTTTAAAAGCTTTTATACCGTTTAACTGATAGTATTAATCTGTCAAAATTCTTACTTTCGCTTAACGGTTAAATGATCAATATGAGCATCCCTAATTTAAACATTTTATACTTTAAAAATGCAATTTTCATATATTATATATTTAAACATATTAGCATTAATATATTTCATTTAGGTTGATTTAAATATTAATTACTGACCTTTTTCCTCTAACATATATTACAAATGACATTGATACAGAAACGAGAATCACCACCAATTATAATATGAATTTCAATACATAAAAAGTCCTTAAATACCATGAAAATAATGTTACAATGAAAATAATTTAATGGCCCTAAAAAGGCTTTATTTCCTTTATACAAAATACAAGACTTTTTTCTTTTGATTTTGGGATGAATTGTAATATATGTTTGTGTGTGCAACGTACCGTTAAGGTGTAGTTGGTCTGTATCTCTCGGTCCACTGGTTTCAGCAGAGTAAGGTAGCGTGTGATGCCAGTAGATGTGATGGAGAAGATGGAGGTGTGGTCATTCAGAGTGATCTTCAGCTGAGGATCTTTTGTCTTCACAAAACAAACAATGATGAGAGGTCAAATGCAGCATTACTACACGTTAATATGAGCATGACACACCATCCACACAAACCTCATGCAGTCACGCAATCCTCAGATTGCATAAACACGCAAGAGTCACTCGACCACCTTATTCACTCTAACATGCAAGAGCCTCAACAGAAATACAACAGCTTTAACTGCTTGTTTGAAAGTCCAGAGAATTCAAAAGTCAAAATGTAATGTATAAATCTAGAGAGAAAATGAAGTACATGCACATTTTAAACTGACAGAACTGCTGTCATTAAAATTGATCATATGTCAATACAAGCTGTTTTTCTGCAAACTACCTGCATTAGTTTGTCTATTGATTTATCTCATCTATTCAGTCTATGACTTATTACTTCAGTCATAGACAGAGAGAGAGAGAGAGAGAGAGAGAGAGAGAGATGTATATAAAATATGTTTATGCATACAAAATTATAAATTATTATATACATATTATTTATGTATTTATTGTTTGTTTGTTTGACTGTTTGCTTTTTAAAATACATTTTTGAAATAAGATTCCACTTATGTAAATCTGGTATTTTTATCACACAAATAATTTTTCAGGAGTATAATTTTACTAGCAAGTTTTAATTGTATTTTTGGTAACACTTTATTTTAAGGTGTCCGTTTTACACGTTACATGTACTTACTATTATAATAACAATTAATTATGCATAATTACATGCAAGTAACCCTAAGCCAAACCCAAATCCTAACCCTAACCATATAAGAAGTACATGTAGTTAAATAATATTACTCAGTACTTATATGTATAATTACACTGTAACAAGGACACCTTAAAATAAAGTGTAACCGTATTTTTTTTATACAATTAAAGACTCGTTAAAATCTAAATAATTAATGTTTTGCATAGTTACACTATGTACAACCCAGGATAACATTGGGTAACATTTGTATATACAATTTACAATCTCTCTTTTGAAGGAAAACTATAAATATAAAGTTAACTCATATAATGTTAAAAATATATAATGTTGCAACTTTTATAATTTTGCAAATTTTTGTGCAGTCAAATGCTATTTAGATTGAAAATGTCTGCCTCATTACCACCTATTTTAACTAGCAACAAAGTGTAACAAACAATGGCTTACAGCTGTGACAAATTAAAGCCTATTGGCTAAAAAGAGACAAACTATTCAATATAGTTACATGTCCAGCTTCCTTGATTTAGTAGGAAACACAGCATCAAAGGAAAGAACACTGCATTTGTCAAACCATTATATTATAAATACAAAATAAAAGAAAACAAAACAAAAGAGGGCACACATCACGTCACTCGGGTACCTACTGGTGTGGCCCCTGGCAGCAGCTACAATATAAAACATATGGAGAGACTGAAACCATCCGTGATTTATGTATCTTTGCATTCCCAAGACAGCAACATTGTGAAAATGTCCTGGCACTTTTCATGAGAACATCTCACCTCTTCTATGTCGTTGTCCAGTGCGATGATGCCCAGCGGGGCCGTGAGGTTGGTGCTCCCTGAGATGGTGGTGCCAACCGAGGCAGACTCACTGATGAAGCCCTGGTACGAGGAGCGCTGGAAATATGGCGCCTGATTGTTCTCATCCAGAATTTCAATCTGCAGGTTAGCGTATGCAGGAAGAGGGTGACTGTTATCCTGCTCGGCCTGTTCACAAACAAACAATATAAACTCTCAAATTTCTCTAAAAATAAAAGTTGAAGGTTGTTGTCATATGGTTGAATGTAGCTTGACACACTTTCAATTTGAAAACAAACTATAATCTGCTGGTTTTCCATACAAACATTACAATGATGATGACATTATAGTGGTAATGAATGATTACCAGATTCAAATAACACTATTTACATGGTATTCTTTTGTAACTTGAAGTACCATGGTATTACCATAATTCACACCATGCTACCTTGACCGAAAAAGATATTACCAAGCTTCAATATCCCCAAAAAAAAAATTAAATTACAAAAAATTAAAAAATGTTATTGTCATTTTATCATACTTTTTATTTGTCTATTTATTTTTCATTTCAGTTTTAGTTATTTTAGTTAATTTAAATAAACTAAAATGTTGCCTTGATATCCTATACATATATATATATATATATACAGTATATGAAGAGTTCATTTGCAAAAACCGATAAATGCCACTTAAAAAAAAAAGAGCTGATTGCCGTGCATTATTCTCCACATATAGCGCGATCTGAACCCTAAACACGTTTTGCCCACTATCAAGGCATCGCGAGTTCACGTTTTACTGCAGAAGCTGACATGTGCCCTTGTTGTTTTTGAACAGAAGCCGATAAGTCCATTTTAGCGAATCAGCG